TGCACTACTGCTGAACAGTTCCTGATATTGCATGAAGGAGGATCCATCCAAGATCGATCCTCCTGTCAAAAATAACAATATCAACACATCGGCTTCAAATATGAATTTTTATATGACCATTTAAACCAACAACATTCCTTAATTAAGGTGTTTTTAAAACCCCTTGATTAAGGACTTAACACCTTAAATCGACAAGTCGCGACAAACCTTAAATAGAGTTAAGGTGTTTTGGAAGATCTGGGTGAATCAAAAATACGATCGCGCTCACCAAATATCTGCAGAAAGACTTTCAACGCGCTCTGTTCTGGGCCGCAGGAATTCCCGCATGTGAGCGCTGCAAGTCGTCAGAGGCAGCGAACTCATATACCTGAACTTTTGCGCACAGGCAGATACACGACTGTGCATGCTTGGACGCCAGAGCCAGGTTTGACATCATTGTTCGACCACGCAATGGAGTTTCCCAGGCCAGCTCCTTCCTTTGATCCAGTGTCCTTTGATGTGGAACACCTTGATGTGCCTCCTGTGCTGGATCATTTACGTGTTCTTCACGCTCACGAACGTGATGAGTTTCTCAGTTTTGAATCTGAAGGACATCGGTACAAGTGGAAAGGCCAGGAGGTTCCAATATCAGTTACTGGCTTGATCCATACTTTCGCAAAGGTTTTCGATGAAACTGCGGTCATTGCTGGCATGCGCCAAGGAAACAACTGGCCACGAGCTAGTTATATTGTCCCGTATGCCTCCTTGGATCTGTTGGGCAGGGTCAAAACAATACCCAACACAGCTGAGCTTGTTTCTCTTCTGGAAAGGCTCCCTGTCAAAGTTGCGGACACTGTGAGACAAATGATCGCTGCAGATCCTACTTGCAGAACGTTAGCAGACATGGTTAGCTTGTCCACGTGCGAAATTCGCACCAAATGGGCGCGAGATCGCCGTGTTGCAGCTGCGCGCGGCACACTGATGCATGCGCAACTAGAGTGCCTTCTAAATGGAGGCTGCGTGTCCTCCTCAAGCCTAGAAGTGTGCAATTTGTTGCAATATCTTGCTGGCAATGGGCTCACCGGCGCCTGTGCGTTTCGCACAGAGTGGACAATATACGCTTCTCATGAAAAACTTGCTGGGTCCATAGACTTTGTAGCTCGCCAAGCCGATGGATCCTTTTTACTATTGGATTGGAAGCGAGCTCGCGACCTCAAAAACAAGGATCAAGCCTTTGGTCGAATGATGAAGTCACCTCTGATGCACATACCGGATGCCCCGCTTTGGCATTATCGGCTTCAGTTGAATCTTTACAAGAAAATACTTGAGCAGTATTATGGTGCCAGAGTCGCGGCAATGTATATTGTATCATTGCATCCCGAATATCCTGTTTTCGTAGATGCCGTGCCAGATCTGCAAGCAGAAGCTGAGGCAATGATGACTTTTCAACGCGATTGCGTAGGCGGAAGCACTGTGCTGGGTGTTTGCTCCAGAGAGACAGATGAAGAAGTCAGCGATGCTGATCGTGGCCTGTGGTTCAGTCGCCGACTCAACATGGCGTTGAAGAACTTGTTCATACCCAAGCCGAAGACAAAACTCCTGTCTGCAGAATCATTTCATCAAGCATTACTTAAAGAGGTGTTGCCTAGATGATTATTGGTTCCTGAAGCTTTGTGCCCAATGGTTGTTTGTGGGGCCTCATCACGGGCAAGGCTTGCTGGAGCTGCCAAATCTTCTGCGAAACAATATCCATATTCACCTTGTGCATCGGTTGTTGAGCTCGATAGCGCAGCGCGCGAAACTGTGCATTTCTGGGAACCTAATTTTTTGGAAGGATAGCGCAGCTTTCGAATGTTTTCTTGCCAGATTGACTGTAGCGCGTTGTGGAGAACGTGTGCGTCGTGAATTTTGCAGCCTTCTTCTTGGCGGCGCGTGCCAAAGTTTGCAGAGTTTGCGGACTGCTCAGCTCGGGCCAATCTTGGGTAAGTGTCGCGCTTGCTTCGAGATGAACATCTCTTTGGATGAGGAAAAGCGAGAGTCAAAGCAAGGCAGCAATCTTGTCGGCAAATTTGTTGCGACAGGCTGCGGCGTGATGAGGGGAATTGCTTATTCCAAATTTGAGATCTGTGCCACCGATCTACCGCAGAGACTGCCGTATGCAATCCAGACAACATTATTTGAAATGCGCGAGTATAGACGCTTTGAATCCAATTCTGTTACCCCGCTGTTGGCTTGCAACAAATTAATAGCAGCTGAAGTGAGCGTGTCAGTGTCTAGGTTTTTGTCTTGGCAACCAAGGTTTGCTGGCGTAGATGGAAACACTGTCGATCTCATCTGGAGGCGCCAACCTTTTCAAATCTGCTCGGATTACCGCGGAGGAGCAAGTGAAGCAGAAGAAAGTGCAGATGATGGCCTGTCCTTGAGTCGCCGGATAGAAATGGAATTGGAGGATGTGTCCATCCCTCAAAGCTCAGACATCAGGCAGCCAGCCCAGGATGTGATGCCTGCTCCGTCCCTGAAGCGCAGTTCTGCGGACATGCAGCATGCTGCTATCGATGTGATGTCTCTTCTGACAGTGAATGAAAGCAACTTGCTAGAAGGCAAAGTGCCCGACGTGCAGCAGGCAGAGCAAGGAAGCATCTTGAACGAGGTGGCAGAATTAAGGCAGTTCCTGACGGAGCACTCTCAAGCAAGCCAGTGGCCAGCTCCATTGCAGCACGTTGCGCAGGGTGCCATTGCTGTTCATCGTCTAAGGTTGCTGGATATTTCTAGACGAGAAGAGGTTCTTTTCTTGGAGTTGATAGAAGGAAGCGGCCGAAATATAAGAGCTCACGCAGGCCAGTGTTTTTTTTTTGAGCGAGCACGGCCATTGGGCTGCGTATGTTGGAGTCGTGCCGCAGGGCGTGCTGGCTCGATGCAAACATTTTCTGCTGCACTTAGAAGGACTATATCGACTCTTGCCACCTGACACGTCGCGCGCACCAGACGGTCTTGTCACGGCTATCGTCAAGCTTTTGCAGTCTCGTAGCAATTCCGTTGCGGACCTCTTGGCAGAATGTGAAAGACTGGCAATATGTGGAATGGCGCAGCCGAAGTTCCGGCGGCGCAAAACATCTGCGGCACAGGATGATGAGAACGACAATTCTGATCACGAAGCCCGAACTGCACCCTGGACCGAAGTTATGGCTGCGACCATCGGAAAGCTCTACGTGAAATTGTGTCTTGGTTTATTAGATTCTCAACCAGATTTGGGCTGCGGTTGCAAATCTGCTCATTGGCTCACATAATACGGAGCCAAAAGAACTTATAACTTTGTAGTGACACTAAGGCAAACTTCTCTTCTGCAGGATCATCTTATCAAGTACTACGTGGAATGGTGTTGCGTAGATGATCTCCGGCGTCCTGGATTTTGCACCCGGGATCTCTCTCTGGTGTTTCATCACCAACAAGGTTTGCTGCAGCTGCCCAAGTCTGGGCAAAACAATATCTACGTTTACTTGCCGCATCGATTGCTGGATCCTGTGCCGGAGGATGTGAAATGCCGAGTTTCTTTGTTTTGGAAAACAACATATTGGCAAAATAGCGCAGCTTTTGAATGTCTTCTTGCTGGATTGACTTTAGCGCTTCGTGGAGAAAATGTGGATCGTGCATTCTGGGGCATCGGCGCCGGCGGTGTGGGCCAAAGCCTACAAACTGCTCACCTCGAAGCTATCTTGGGTAATTATCATTCTTGTTTAGACATGAATATCTATTATTCGGACGAGGAAATGCGCAAACAAGCTGGCAACCTTGTCGGCAAGATCGTTGTTACAGGGCAAGAGTCCGCGCAGGGGTCTTCTCGTGGCATGAGGGAAGATGTTTACAAAAAGCACATGTCTGCCGACAAATTGCCAGAGAGACTGCCGTACGCGATCCAGACAACATTAGTAGAACTTCGAGGCTTGAAACGCTTTGAATTCAACACTGTGCCTCGGCTACTTGCCTGCAACGAGTCACATGCAATTGTTCGCCCTGCCAGCGCTAAGCTGATGCTTCTAACTACCAAGGTTTGCTGGCGTCGTGGAGGACACTTTCAATTCCATGTTCAGACGAGTTTTGGCTGCGCGCTACAAAGCCTTGTTTCTTGAAGCCTCCTACATAACGCAGCACATGCAAAATGCTGACGCGCAAGGAATTTTTCCCAAGGACCCGACGCTCAAGGATTTCTTGCGCTCAGGTCCTGCTTGTCTTGCCACTCTTCGAGTTATTTGGCAGTATGCTCACACGCACAGCGCCGAAGCTTGCAGCAATTGTTTGGAAGAATACGTCTTGCAGGGCAAAGATGAGGGTTTCACAGAATTGTGCGTCCGGCGGGCTTGCGGCCTGCAAATGAAAACTACAGAGAATGCGCCCGAAGTTGAAGAAGTTCAACATTTGCAAGCAAGACAGCATCAGGACCGGGCTGCGCAGAATGTTAAAGATGCCGCGGCAAATGAGGTTCGAGCAGTTGCGTGCCAGCAAGCAAACGAAATCTTGGCTTGGATGGTCTGCGCGAAAAAGGATTGGTGCACAGCGAACCAAATACGCACCGTCAAGGGCAAGAACTTTTGGAACAATTTTTCACGTGGTGACACGGAAGCCGTTCTTGAGGCGTTGGTGTCTCAGACATTGTTCCACAAGACAAATCTCACCCTCACGAAGTTAGGCTTAACGGATGTTTTTGCTCCAAACATTTGCGCCGCCAGATCACTGAGGGAAGTAGTTGACCAGCATCTTCATCACGCAATGGTTTTCCCTGAAACCTACTGCCGGGCTACAATGCATGCGTACATGACGAAGCAGACAGGACGGCTGGCCAACAACATTTTGCTGCGCAAAGCTCACCAAAGTAGAGTTTCGCAAACAAAGAAGGACCGTGCCAAAAGGTCCGGGCCTGTGCAAAAGGAACAGCGCATCGTGGAGGCAGACCAAGAAAATTCTTTGAAGGGTATTGAGGCGCACCTGGACCTCGAGAAGGCCATTTTCAAGGAAATGCAGCAGCACGTTCTAGTTCACCCTGGAACATCCGAAGTGCAGGCGCAGTGTACCTACTCCTACAAGCACGGCCTGCGAAGTCGCCGTGTGGTGAAAGGTTTGGGCGCCCAAAAATTTTCCAAGGTGCTTCGGAATCTCGTGCGCAAAGGCACGCGAGACTTTGACTTCCACAATAGCATGTTCACCTTGGTAGTGCAACTCGTAGACAAATTACAGGTTTGTTTTCCGGAGACCCTCAAGGACATCTCAGCTTGGCGATGTGTGGCGACCGACAGAGATAAGGTTTGCACGGATACATTGGAGTGCAACGTAACGAAAGGGAAGAGTGTGCTGTTGCAGGTAGCCTGCGGATCATCTTTATGCAGCGATGACGCCTGGCCACAAAAGGCTACTGAGTTTCTGCAGCAACTGTCCAATGAAGGCCGCTTTCTGCGTTGGCTAGCACGAAGTCAATGTGCGGATGTGTATGAATGGGTCAAAGAGGGCGCGCGTGGCTTTGAGAAATCTTCGTGGCCAGAAGCAACCGTTTTTGCGTACTGGTAGAACAGCGCAGAGGATTCGTGTCTCAGCTGTGTGTTGGATTTGCTTACAGAAGTGGAGGTGCCCCGTAGACATGTGTCTTTACATTTCGACGGGCTACTGCTATCCGATGACATTGTCAAGGCTGTAGAAGCCAAGCATCAAAGCAAGAGCTTCGCTGAAGTAGCGGAAATAGAGATCTTGAAGCGAACTGGTTTTCGGATCACCGTGAAGGAGAAGCACTTCACTTGCTTCGTGGATCATCTTTTTGCATTGAGTGAAAGAGAACTTGTTGCAGACAATTCCGAATTGGAAGCTTTATCTGGACAGGCGAATTCCATTCCGGTGGCTTATGCTTTCATTTCGCGTCAGTGGCGCTTTGTGACACAGAAACTTACAGAAACAAATGCAGTAAACACGAGAGCTCAGCAACGTGGTCTACGGTGCTACAAAGACTGGCATGGGCTGAATGGCCATTATTTGAAGCCAGGCTTTGCTTTGCCAGATTGCGGCCCGACTTGTTTTCTCATGCGTTTCAACAATTGTGGCTCGCCTGTTTGCTTGGGCGTGGCAGTTAGCCCGACCGGACAATGTGACATTTTGTATGAGCGCAAACTGCGCTCCTGTCATCTTGAGGACTTGCGCCGTATGATCAGCGCTAGCTTGGAGTCCTTCAACGTTGCTTTTTTCCGGTTGCAAACATCCGACGATGATTTAACCGACAGTGAAACACTTTTACTAGATCTTGTTGCGGGCCGCCCCGAAGACGCGGCAGAAGTGGACTTGCGTGGTGGTGGTGACGCCAGTGAAGCAGACGTGCATGTGGCTGAAGAGTTAAGATGTCTTCTGCTTGAATAAGTAAAACTGTGCGGTGACCAGTTAAGTGCTCAGGCTGGGAAATCATTCTCCTCACAGGTGTGTCCTCTATGCCCATGGCGGCGTTTCGGAAAGAGATGTCAATTGTTAGCGCATGTGCGAAAACACCATGTTGTTTCAAAGAGGTATGTGGCCTCAGGCACGAAGCAGCTACGTATTCTAGTGGCAATATATGATGACGATGCCACCAGGAACGCAAAGCATGAGGCTAAGTACTTGCGTCGCTCAGCAGACCTACTGCGAGCCCAAGTCAAGCCCGGGGCATCTTCGAGATGCAACGCCATTGACAAGCACATTCGTATGTGCATGACGCGCCTTGGGCCTTGTTTCATGTCTCTGGGACAGGTCAAGAAAAGCCGCGTGCGACGGCGTGTTGGCAACGTATACTATGACCGCTCATTCGCGAATGCCTTCATGTGCAACGCAGTCGCAGGTCGTGGTTCATTTCGGCAGATTGCTGCCGCCTTTGCTTCCTCAAGTACGCGCGGACAAGGGCAGCTCTCCTCCTTGCTGCCAGAAGCTAGTCACTCCTTCTGGTGCAACGTCCTAGAAGATTTGCTGCAATCGCCGCAAATGGCAACCAAACTGCAAAGCTTGCTGAATGAGTGCTACGAGAAAGAAGAGTTTCGTTACATCAGCATTGATGCGACAGTGAAGTGTATGATGAAGATTCTAGGCCAAGCCTCCTTCAACGAGAGCCAAGACCTTCGAGATGCAGCTGCGCTTCCAGACGCAGAGTCCGTGTACAAACTGCTGACTGTACGTGGCCGCACCAACGCTGTGCTTGCGCTACGCGGCATTCGATCCGAGGCTTCGCATGTTGTGGCCGATGCAACGGAGGCAGCGTTCTCCCCGCAGCAACGACAACAAGTGAAGCATGTCGCGTCCGATTGCCCAAGCCCAGAGATGTTCGCTAGACTGCATGCAATCTTTCCGAATCTGAAGTCTGTGGGCCTTGATGCGATGCACATCGTAATGGTGTACGAACAAAACTTCAACAATAAACGAACGCAGGGCAGCAAGTGGTTGGCTTCTGTCATGAACAAGTTTCGCGTAGTAGACTGCGCAGCCAACGCAAATTCTTTCGGCCCTATGTACACCGGCGTGGAAAACATTTCTTATTCCGCCGAAGAAAAATGGCTTGGGGCATTGCTTGCAGAGGGAAGTATGCCGGAGGTGGAAGCCATTTCTGTGCTTGACAAAGTGGATCCAGACCAACCCTGGCGCACGGAAGCAGATTTTCTCGAAGCAATCGCTGCAATCTGTTCTTTGTTCTTTGATGAACTGCAGAAAGTCACGTTGTCAGGCGCTACCTTGCATCGACTACTGATCAACCTGACAGTGCCGGGTAAAATTCAGTGGCTTTTCAATGACACACGATACCGTCACACATGTCCTGCCAAAGAGATGACTTTGCTTCCGAGCGGAACCACCTCTAACGAGTCCCTGCACCACGAAATCAAGACTTGGTTTCGCGAAACTGTGACTTGGCTGCAATGTGTGTCAGCTGCACCGGGATCATTTCGCAGCGTCAAATTGGATGTTAGTAGGTGCACCTATTTCCCTGCTGAACTTAGTTGGCTATGCATCGATCAACGTTGGAAACCAAGCTCAAGTTCTTCCAATTCGTGAAGCTGAGTAGTCACAATCTTGCGTTGTATCATCCACTGCAACGTCAGAACACCCAAAAGCACCTGGCACATCGACTTGTCGGCTCGGTCGACATTTGGGAGAAGTCTAATTGGAGGATGTGGTGCCGGGATCTTTTGCAAGCAAACAAAACCCCAAAACGTGTTCTTTTAGCAGGAGCGGAACAGCGCAAGGCAGCGCGATCCGCTCTTCGCGCAAAGCGTGACATGTCTCACAGGGCTCCAGTTGGCAAGCCGCGCAAAAAGCCAGCGTCCCAAATCCCAGCTCCGCCAAAGCGGCAGCAGACACGGCGACATCCATTCGCCTTGCGTGTTCTCAATCCTCTTGTTCGACCAGGCAGACGTCACAAGAATGTAGAGAGATCGGCGTAGTCTGTCCATGCAAAGCGTGGAAGGGAGTGAGATTCACTTTAGACAACATCTCATATCAATTCAGGTTCAGGCCTTGCCTCACTACTACGTTTGCCTGGTTGCTTTATGCGGTGTTAATGCTTTTCTTTGACGACTCAAAAGAATTCACAAATGTGTACAGCGTTTGCGTGATCATCCAACGAGGGTCGCAAAATTACGACAAAATGCAGTCTTGCGCCTGCGCATTGCGCAAGCGTGTTCACAGTACACCTCAAGCTATGTCGCCCCTGCCGTTCTCTTTTGGCACGCGGCCGCAGCTTCTGCAGCTTTCACATTTGTCATAGTCAGCATTACTGGCGATATGAAGAGCAATGTTCTTGTAGCGTGCAAATTCCCAAAACGAAGCATGGCTCAATGCAATCAAGCTCGCGCTTGCATGATGTTGACGCACATGTATGCCTGGACTTTCCATGACAAGGCGCGATTTTGTGCTACGACTGTTTCCTGCTTTGTGTTAGTAAGGGTTAACAAAGGAGAGGTAGTGGCAGTCGTCGTCGTAGTCGTCGACATAAAGAGTCGTGGTGGTAATACTGGTAGTAGTAGTAGTAATAATAAAGTAGTAATAAAGTACTACAGTGCTAAAGTGGCAAAATAGTAAAAGTGGTAGACTAGTAGTAATTGTCATAGTAGGAGGAGAAGAATGAGCGAGGAAAGGAGAACTAGTGCAAGTAAAAGCAAAGGTAGACGTCAAGTAGGGGAATTATGTAAAATAGTATAACAACTACTACAACAACAACAACAACTATTGCTAGTAGTGGTACTACTTCTAGTACTACCAGTACTGCTACTGTTATTGCTACTGCTACTTCTACTTTATCCTCGGAAATTCTGTGAAATACAAAAATACTTTGGCTAAAGCCGATGTTCTCTGAGAGCCCACGCTTGCGGTGAGATTCAAGTGACAACGGTTGGATGAATTTCGGTGTGCCATGTGCTGATTTACATCTCGGGGGTCTTCCACCATTGTTACATGTGCTGATGTGGACGTAGAGCGCCTTCTGGGAATGCGCTCGTTGTTTAGTAATTGCAGTTGCGTATGTTTGCAGCGCTTGTGTAGGAGAATTAAGTAGAATTGCTATGTTCAACTGCACTTCTTGCAAGGATATGTGTCTTGCTTTGCCATATCCGGCAGGTAGACAAAGATCCCAGCTCCAGCCTGGGTTGATTTGCGCGTCGCCCGGCTTATGACGCGACTGTAATTAAAACAAACGAGTTTGAATAAATAGTGGTTTCTGGGAAGCCTTGTCTTCTCACCCAAATAGGCAGAATCTCTTTAACTTCTTTCAGCGTGTCTTTTTTCTTCAATAGATAATCTTGCAACCTTTAGGGACCTTCTCAACTTGGTTATGCTCCACGACTTGTAATTGGGCAGATGTAGTTCCAATGCAAGTGCACAATTCGCGGAATTGATCAAATTTGTAAAGGGGAAAGCATTTTGCAGAAACGTACTTATCTTTCTGCAAGAGGTTGCCCGGTGCTCACTTGCCTTATAACATATAGCTGAATGTAAAACACCCAGGACACTGCAGCGCCTTGGTTTGGGGTCCCGGGTTTTGCAACATTCCTAACCGTGAGTCCTGAAACCTTAACCTCGGAAACCTGCAACCCTGACGCAATGCTCAGGACGCTGTTGTGTCTTGGTTCAGGTGAAGGTTTCAGGAGCAACTTATTATTTTGTGATTCCTTCAGCTAAGGAAGAAGCCTCGTAGCCTCACTGGCTGTAAAACCAAACTTTGGTGTTCTTTTCAAGTGTTTTTCTTTCTTTTTGGCTATTCCTCCGTTGTTTATCCCTCAGGTATCTGCATTATGCTCGACAAGTGAAGCTGTCCTGACAGACGACGATTCTGGGCCAAACTCCACTCGACCTTCACAAATAGTGTCGAGATCCAGACATGAAGAATTGGTGTACAAAGACTTCCGAAGTTCTTTAAGTTCTTCGGCTTGGACAGGCTTAGCCTTCCAGCTGCAGCTTACAGGTTTACGCACTGCTTGGAGACTTCCTTCGCGGAAAGCAACACTTCCTCTCACCGCATGCTGTGCCATTCTTCATGAAGTAAACATTAAACGTTTAAAGCTTCCTGCACTTGC